TACATTTGTGTTTCAGACATCACAACCGCTGGTTCCGATCACCACCACTCTAAAGAGTCTGTACATTTCTCTATAATTCACCATTTTATATCAAACCACTCCGAATGACTTCGTTTACATCTCAACGATATAATTATGCAGACATTATGCAGACAAAAATAATTGGTGGAATTCCCCTTTTTTGTGAAAAGCCAAGTTTTCTAACTCTCCTCAGAGTAACTCATATGAAAAAAGGTCTGAAGCATTCCAGTCAGTACTGACGGAGCTTGTCTCTGCTGTAATTTGATAACGTTAATAGAAGTGCCCTCGCATTCAGGTGCAGTTCAAGTAGGCTGCGGCTACAGAAATATTAGTAGGCGATTTGAAAGGACGCCCAAAGAAATCCAGATTAAAGAATTTGGCCGAAATGAATGCTAATGCGCATAATCATGTCCTTAAAAGGTTTGTGAAACATTAAACGCAAACAAAAGGCCTATTTCAGAGTAAATTACGATGAGCGATGCATGCATTAGCTTAAAATTGCAACGATAACCCTCCGCGTCTGACAATTCATTAGCATAATTTCAGCTACAATTTACACTACTGTTTACGATTAGAATGTGACTCCTGACATCTTTCTCCCAGGATAATAAGAATGATTTTCCTGTCGTGTAGGCTGTGACTGAATGCGATTAGTAAGACAATGATGCTCTTCTCTTTATTTTAAAGCAGATTTCACGATCTGATAATGTGAATTAATCAAGTCATGTTTAGAACACTATTATAGGCCTACGTCAGTGCCAGATTATTTTTTTCATTTTTAGATTATATTTTATTTTATTATTGGCACCTAACAGATATTTTTGCCAAAACGAATTACGCTAAAAATAGATGAGTATTTCATTTTCCTCATATTTAGCGGGACACATGATAATTATGTAGCACGATATGATCCCAGCAGAGGAGAGACCAGGCTGGACTTTTGTCTTTTCTTTAACGGAGCGCTGAATCTGATTCTACCTGTGTCTGAACGAGAGGGCACTGCAGCCTTTCAGTCCGGCACAATGAGAAGAGCGGAGCGAGCTTCAGTCGCATCTTCATTTGCATGGCCAGTCCAAAAAAAATCATGCAAATCCTAATGAGGCTGCCTCCATTGTGGCTGCAATTGAAAAACCATTCTTGGTTAATTACAGGGGCTCAAAGGCCTTCTTCGCAGTCACTGAGCTAAAAAAAGAAAAAAGAAAAAAAAAAACACGTTATTGATTCTCAGGTTTACAAGATTTTAAATAAACATTAGAGCGGTGGTTCCTGCTCCTTGGTATGCGCTAAATTTCCAAAAGTGGAAATTATTTAGGACTTTTATTTTGTGTAAAGTATTTCGTAGTATCTTAAACTGCAGCTCATTTCGACTTTTCGCACGTGGTATTTTAACCCTCAGAAAATTCACATTTAATTCAGCGATTAATGTGATAGTTAGCTTTTTTTGTCTTGGTCTTTGGTTGCAAAACCTCACATTACTATATGAAAGTAGACCACCTCCTCTAGAAGTGCATTCGTTTGTACAGCATGTGTAGTAATGTCGTGGTTTTGGACGCAGCCTTAAGCTAAGCTTAAAGTTATAGTTTACTTTTTATTATACAGACATTGCACTTTTACAAAAAGCCCCACTGTAGCACATCGTGTGTATTTGACCAGTGTTATTTCTTTAAAGCAGTAAAAAGCCGCGTAATTCCTGACTCTCCTCCTCATAATGTACTTTTTGCAGCACAGTGTTTGCCATTATTTAGTGAATGTCCAGGCTAATTTTATTCCATTGATTTGTTTTATTAGCAAATGAATTGTCATTGACGGATTACAGGAAAAAATAGCGGACAATTTAGCACAAATGCTGGATTCATTTAGTGTTGTAAACATTTGCTAACAATTTATGCCATTAAAAAAGTCATAAAATAAAGTTGTTAAAAAGGGTATACAGGATTTATTTATCTACATTTGGTCTAATATTTAGTCTAATACATGTAGTCTAATCAGGTCAAATAAATTAATATTTGATATCAGATGTCATTCCTGGTCAGATGGGAATTCTGATAAGAGCCATTTCAGCCTGCTGCTTTTATCAGGCACATTATTGTGGCCCTATAATGGTGAGCAACAGCGTTCTTATCTGGAGTAATCATTCAGGATCCACACAATGACCTAAAGATGGGCTATTTTTCTTGCGCAGCAAATGAGAATTCAGACAACTATTTTGATTCCACTTGAATGGGCCGCTAATTGAAAATTCCCTGCTTTGCCTCGACACCCGTGAGTGGCTTTCGGAAGCCCGCAGCTCAGTGATGCCGAACCCTCGCCGTCTTTGCTGGTGGTCCTCAGCCTTATAGCTTTGGTTAATTAGGAAAATTGGGAAAGAGAAGTCCTCATTACCGAGCCCCGGGGCAGCTCGGAGTTTTCCTTCTCCCGCTGGCTCCTACATTTCCATAAGCAGATTACAAGAGGATCTGCTCCTGAAGCCTCTCGGACAGATCAGCGGCTTTGGTGAATGAGTTTGGGGACTCAGGAGAAGTTTACAGGACTGCTGGTCGGACTAAGACGAACCTGCGCTCACATTCAGTCTGTCAGCGCGGCGCTCTTAGAAACGACGGATTGAGGCCGGAATTTGCCTCCTGCAGTGAAAGCGCGCATATGAGGAAGATTTCACACCGCTGACAATGACGACCATTCAGTCCATGATATTAGCCCTCATTTGGCTTTGGGAGAAGTTAAATAGCCCGCACGAGGCCCTTTCTTGGCCGCCAAACGCTTTATTTTGTGGTATTGCTTTACCTCATTTAGATTTAACCTACTTCACTGTTTTTAATTTCAGTGAGAATTTTTTGGTCATTTCGAAGTTCATCCATGCCAAACTTGCATTGTTAAAATCATATATTAATATAGTTATAATGCTCATTTTTGTCCTGCTGCTCTTCAGTGAGCGCTGATGATGTAAATTCAGCCCTGGTGATTTTTGCATTCATTTATTTGTAATATTTTATTAAAATCTGAAACATCTAGATTAAATATTAAATCAACTCTAATTAATATTAAAAGGATTATACCCTTAAAAGGGGCGGGGTTTTCATGTAAAGGTTATATAGAACCATGACAATCCATAGAACAATTTCAATGTTTAAATGGTTCTTCTCTGTGATGGAGAAACTGTTCTATGTGGTTCTTCAAAGAACCTTTTAAAAATGCTTGTGTGGCACCAAAAAGGGTTCCATCCTTTTTCGATGCTGTATAGAACTCTTTTTGCTAAGAGTGACGTCTTAAGCCAAATTGTCTAAAATTGCTCATTGTAGGTAAAATTCTTTCTAAATCACAATATTTAAGCGTCTTTTTTGTTTTTATTTTTAGCCTGCTTACTCCATCAATCCCTGCGCTTTGGAGCCGGTCTTCAACCCTGAATGAAAAGGGGGTTAAAAACGACCATAAAAAGCGAATTATTTATGGCAGAGAGGTAGAGCGCGTGCATGGAGACCGGTTGACGTGTCATGTAGACTCTTGTAGAAACTTCTGAAGGCTCGAGTACAGATAATTAGTGTGCAGTAGGCGCTAAGAGCCCGAGCTGAATATTCAAGAGTTTAATGGTTTACACTCCGAGGAGTGAAACGTGCTGCGCGCGCTGCACATGTATGTATGTATGCATGCATGAGTGTGTTAACTGACGGCAGTGTCGATGGGCGCTCGTCATCATTTGCAGGTGTAAAAGTTAGCCCGAGGCGAGAGAGAGAGATAGAGAGAGATCCCTCTGCCTAAGAATCCAGCGCTAATTTGTAAAGCACGAGCTAATAAAGGCGCAATAGAAGAGCCTCATCACTAACTCACTCGGGTTGCCCTGCTAGAGCACTGCAGAATGTCTGTGAGGTCGTAGTGATGATCACTGGTGTTATTTTACTGACTCCCATCAGCCCGTAAGAACAGAGCGCTGGAGTGAGTTATAAGGACAGAGTCGATTCCGCCCACAAGGGGGCGATAATGCATCACTCTTTATCACTTCAGCCTGCTGTTAGGCGTGAAGATGGAGGCTCTGATTCCTCTGGGAGAGCCCGCAACGGCGCTAATTATTGATCCTTTAACACAAACATGTTAATTTCTGTTGTGCTTTAATTGTCTCAATATCCACTCACAAATTTGACTAGTGTTACTGTTTAATATCGCGTGTAAAATCGCGCGCGGAGCTAGTTCATTCCACCCCACAGATTTCAAATAGTTTAACAACGCATTGATTTTTGCTGATATTGTGAACGAATCGGATTATTTATTGTAAATGTGAATTGCAATTCAAGGGCGCTGCTGTGGCTTAGAGTGCGCGCAGCTGAATATGTTGTGAAATTCAGAAATGTGGATGTATTAAATTATCAGACTAGTATAAAATTCTATTATCTTAATATTTTAAATCAGATTTGAAAACGCAGTTACGTTTTCCAGACGTTTTATTCCTTTATATGTGTTATTCAGTTAATTGGAAAAAAATATTAAGCGAACCGGCTCACGTTGTTTACACTTAGTTTAGGGAAAATAATAAAACTATATTTAAGCAAATGCACACAGCAGCTCAGATTTAGACTGTAGGACTCTTTGCTTAAAATATACTTGAACAGCTTTAATTTCACTCATTCAAATTAATTTCACTCTTTGTAGTATTTTCACATCTGCTTCTCTTTACTGAAGTGAGCGCGTGTGTGACTGCATTTCAGCTGATAGCAGGTTGTTTTAAAGCTCTGCGCCTGATGAAATGGTGTTAAAACAAAAGCTTTAATAAAGGTGGCACTTATTTGCAGAGGAGGCAGCATCCCAAAACTATGTTCTTTGTAACTCTCTCTGAACACCCCAACAAGCAGCGGCGAGTGTGTGTGTGTGTGTGTGGAGTGCAGGAAGCGCTCTGATTGGTCCGCGCCGCGGCTTATTGTCACGCTGTCAGTCCCAATCACATGGCCGGGCCTCTATTAACAGCTGAGCTCGGCCTACGAGTTTTGCAGAGTTTGTGTGGCACGGCAGAGAGCCAGAGGGAAAGAAGAGCCTCAGCAGGGACTTTCACTCAGACTGATGCAGTTTCAGGTCTTCAGCGCGTAACTTTTGCTCGATTTTCGCTCGCTGCTTTTGGCGGTTTTGCTTTAGAGTTCTCTAAAGCTACAGCTGCTTATTTGTTTTTATTCTTTTTTGTTTTGTTTTTTATTTCTCTACATTTCTCCCGCATGCGAGTGTCGTGTTAAAAGACAAAAAGTTGTCCAAATGTATAACATGATGGAAACCGAGATTAAAACCCCTCTGCCGCCGCAGACCACGGGCTCGGCGGCGGGCGGGAAGAGTGGCGCTGGGGGCGGCGGAGGTGGAGCCGCGGACCAGGAGCGCGTGAAGCGGCCCATGAACGCCTTCATGGTGTGGTCGCGCGGCCAGCGGCGGAAGATGGCCCAGGAGAACCCCAAGATGCACAACTCGGAGATCAGCAAGCGCTTGGGCGCCGACTGGAAGCTGCTGACCGACGCCGAGAAGCGGCCGTTCATCGACGAGGCCAAGCGGCTGCGCGCGATGCACATGAAGGAGCACCCGGATTACAAGTACCGGCCGCGGAGGAAGACCAAGACGCTGCTGAAGAAGGACAAGTACGCGCTGCCGGGCGCGCTCCTAGCACCTGGCGCGGGCGCGGTGATGGGCGGCGCGGGCGGAGGAGGGGGCGTCGGGAGCGCGGCGGCAGCGGCGGCGGCGGCCGCGGCGCAGCGCATGGACGGCTACGCGCACGTGAACGGCTGGGCGAACGGCGCGTACTCGCTGATGCAGGAGCAGCTGGCGTACCCGCAGCACCACGGCATGGGCGCGCCGCAGCTGCAGGCGCCCATGCACCGCTACGACGTGACGGGCCTGCAGTACCCCATGATGTCGTCGGCGCAGACGTACATGAGCGCGGCGCCCACGTACAGCGGCGTGGCGCCCGCGTACGCGCAGCAGAGCGCGGGCGCCGTGGGCCTGGGCAGCGTGGGCTCCGCGTGCAAGACAGAACCCAGCTCACCGCCGCCCGCCGTCGCGTCGCACTCGCAGCGCGCGTGCCTCGGCGACCTGAGGGACATGATAAGCATGTACCTGCCGCCCGGGGGGGACAGCGCCGAGCACGCGGGCCTGCAGGGCAGCCGTCTGCACAGCGTGCACCCGCACTACCAGAGCGCGGGCACGGGCGTGAACGGGACACTACCGCTGACCCACATCTGAAAGACTCTGTGAAATGAGGAGGCGGGGGGTGTTTGGGTTGGAATGGGACGAAATGGGGTGGGACTGGGGGGTTAAAAAAGGACTAAGTACTTCGGATACTTGAACATTTATGATTTGCAAAAAAAGAAAGAAAAAAAGAAAAAAATCGAAGTTCCGTTTTGTTATTAAAAAAGTGAAAATGAAAATTATTTTTAATCTCAACGAGTTGTCAACTTTGAAAGAATTTTATGACGACATATCATGGACTGAACGCTGAAGTTTTTTTTTTGAATGTTGCCCTCAAATAATAATAATAATGATGATGAAAAAAGCTAACGCAATCAACTTCTGTACAGAAGAATTGGACTTTAAAATGCCATCAGATTTTCTGTCTATGAAAAAAGGCACGTGGCTTCGTCAAGAGGCTGTTGTATTCCAGAAAAAAAAAAGAAAAAAGGAAGAAAAAAAATAAAGAAATGAACCCACTGGAGGGAGAGTACGTTCACTCATGTAATGTTTACACTTCGTTTGTAGAATGTCAGTTTTGTTGGCTGTGTCCAAATCTGTGTAGTCTCTTTTTTTGCTCTTCGTTCGTGCGCTTTGTTGAAATGAAAGACTGTGCTGGTCGCAAGCGCAAAAGTTTGTTTTATTTATAGTACGTTGTTCTTTTTTAAAGCTTGTGAACCATACGTCTCGTTTAAACATGTTCCATTTTGTTCTGTTTGTTTCGTTGTGAATCTTTCTTTCTGTGATGTTTGGACAGTATCAGGTTAACCCGTTTTGTGGGACGGAGAGTTTTATTTAAACCGACGTTTCTACTTATTTTAAGACCATCCTCTATTCTCAAATGCCGAATAAATTTGTACAAAAGAACACTCGTGCCTAGAAATTTCTTTTCCACAGGGAGCCGGACCGTCGACACGTATCGCTCTCTAATTTAATGTTTTTCACAAGAAAAGCGCTTCTTAAAACACTTGCTGACTTGTAGCGATGTGTTAAATGAAGTGAGTATAGTCTGAATTCCGTCACTGCTGGAACTCACACTGCTGACTGTGCGAGCTGTGAGTGAGTTTAAAACAGGCTCAAACTTCACCAGAGTTCAGCAAAGTGTGGAAAAAACGACCGAATGTTTTTACTCACCTGCTTCACTTGTACCCCTGTAACTCAAAGCTGGTCGAATTACTTCTTAAATGAGCTTAATTCTTTGTAAATGCTAATGGGTTTGACTGAATGGTACTAATATCCTATTTGTTCCCCTCTTTCAGTGAATAAGCCACCTTTACATAGAACTGAGTCTAGGCTGTCAAACCTTTCAGGTGTAATTAGGTGATAAAAAGACAGTGTAGTTTCCTCTATATATCTAAACCCCTGTTGGTTCTTACTTGTTGATTTTGCCAAGTAAAATACAAACAATTAAGAAATTATTGGAATGTCACTGATTAAAAAGCAGGTAATGTTGCTGTAGCCACACAGTAGCGAAAATAATCTTTCAGAAAAGAAAAAGACAGCACAAACAGTAAAAGCTCCAGTGGTATTTCTTGTTGTAACTGGGTCCACTCTTCTTCAGTTACCTTCATTAATATGTGTGTTAAGTTAACACAACCATTAATACACTTAGTTTATTACTAGTCTACATATGATTTCCATTTGCACACAATATGTCAGTCTATGAAAGTGTTTTAAATGGTCGTTGAATTTGTCCTGAGGATATTTAGTACAATGTTGTAAATATAGACTTACATTACTTTATTTTAACGTGGATTTCCCTGCTAGTATTCAGTGTTTAATATGGGGACTAGTGGACAAGCGTTCCTCACATCGTCATGTACAGATTTTACTGAATTTCATAAATTTGCCAAAATGACAATTTTCGTTTCTATTGCTCTCCCATCATTAGATCGGACCCAAGTGGAATCAAATACGAAACGCAAGCACAATTTGTCATTTTCACAGCATAAATTGTTCCTCATTTGATTTAGATTACAGTCCTTCAACAGCTTAAGTGCCCTCTACCATACTGTAAAAATGATTTGTTGTTTTAACCTACTGGCCTCTAAATTTTAAGATCTTTAAACTTCTAATCTATAATAAGCACTGTGTTACAATCAATCAAGTTATTATTTGAAGTTAATTATTTTAAGAGAATCAGGTCAACATACTTTTTCAAAATACATTTTCTGTAACAGTGTAGGCCACTGATTCGAGGGGTCTGCCCAAACCTAGAGACATCTTTCAGATACTTCTCTGGAAGGCAGTCAGTTTGGCAAATCAAAGTGACAGCTCGTCGGCTACTGTGCAGTAGCACAATAGTGCTGCTGCACCTGACACCTTCACAGCAGGGTGCTCGGACAGGCCACAAGACCTCCTACTGCAGGGTGCCCTGGGCTCCATTCCCCTGGGCCACAGAGAGGGGCCAAGCAGAGGCTGCCCGCCTTCCCACACTCAACGCTGGGTTTGATCTGTGGGCTCAGCTCGGCACTGGGATTAGCCCGCTGCACCTCTATGGCACGGCAGAAGATTAGATGGACCTCCCTGCATTCACTAGCTGGGTCTTAAGTCACTCTAGCGCGGCAGCGGCCGCCTGTCAGCTAATCACACTCTCCAGCTCATTTTTTTGCAATTAAGCAGCTTTGGCTGCACCGCTGGGCTCAGTCTGAATCTGTGTGCAGTGCTGAGCACAGAGAATAGTGCTTGTGGGACATCTGTCTTGAGGTGCACTCAGTCCAGAACTTTCGGTATTTCATCTCTCGGCCACCCTCAGGTGGACGGGCACCTGACGCGTTAAGGGTTTTGAGAAAAGGGATCACAGTGGTGACGTACGTTCTTAAAACTGATGGTGTTGGAGTAATGTGATAGAAGAATCACGTTTGATTGAAAGAAGCTTTCTTTAAACAGATATCTTAGTGTAAAAAACCTTTTTAGAGAAACTTTCTTTAATAATTAAAATGGTCTAAATTAGTTCAAGGGTTTATTAGAACCAAGCCAAGAACCATTTAGAAACCTTTATTTCCAGGTCAGTAGGGGTAAAATGACTAACTGTGGAAAAGAAGATAGAAAAAAAATGATTGTTTATTAGTAAAAATCCACTGGTCATATCTTAGAGAAGTGCCATATTTATCTTGCTGTAGTAACATATTTTTGCAAACAATATTGAGGTTGATTATAAGGTAATTCTTAGTATATGAACACCTTCAGTTTGATGTGAATGTGTTGGAATGTTGATACACTGCCTGTGAAAAGTTTTGGGACACAAAACTTAAAATGTTTTTAATAAATGTTATCTCTGTGCTGTTTTCTTTGCCTTGCTTACAACAACCTTTTAAATAGAAAGATGTTTAGATCTTGTCATTTCTCTGTGCAAGAGTTAAAAACTAAATGAACGATTGGCATTTGCACTGTGAATAATGACATGCGTTATGCATTCTATGCCCTTGTTCATAACCGCACTCATCAGCTTTCTAAACCACTTTTGAGACGAAAGTTTTTCGATATGTGCTTTTGACAGTAGCACTTTTCATCCAGAGAAAAAGACTTAACAAACGTGATAGACAAATAATAAGCAATGATAAACATGGAGTATAAGTAAAGTCATATGCAAAAGTTTCATTGACAATGACTTTTGTTGATTTTTTCAGTAAAAATAAGTGAACACATCATGTACATAGAACACTCTTCTGCACATTTTAGTGCACAATAACTGTTTATTTGCTAAATTTAACATATTGGGGTGAAAGAATAAAATATTAAATGTGACCTGTGCCTTTATATTTTATGTTTTATGTGTTTCCAATATTTTAAACTCAGATTTGTGAGGATCAGTTATGAATAGCATTTCATTTTTGCCACACATTAATGTCTTCAATGGTGTAATTCATTGGCACAGATTAGTGGCAACTCCTTATTGAATAGGAACTGAGAATGAGTATATTTAATCTGTGTGAGTTTTTCAGAGGCAGCTGAAGCAGAGTGGTGGGTAACCCCATGGGCCTCTCTCTGGGCATGGAAATGGTTTGGCAAGGCAAGAGCCACCCGAACCCCCAAGAGAGGGGCCCACTGATCAATCTCTCTCTCGCTCTCTCGTGCTCCGCACTGTCATGTGAAGCACTGCTGTGCCCACTCAGCAAGTGCAGGCATATCCTCACTTCCATCTGCCTATGACCTCACTGGGGCTGTTTGTTTAACCCCACTCTCCAAACCTGCCTATTTGCAGCCCACTGCAATCTCGCACAGTTTAGATTGCGCTCAGTGCGCAGGAGCATAGTGTTTCCCCATGTTCATGTAGTCATTCCCTATCTTTTTTTTTCTAGTGAATTACTGAAATGTTACATCCACTTTGTCTTTGTTTCTAATTGCTAAGATATAAGCACATCCTATTTGGTCTAAAATGTGTAGCAACGGATTGGTTGATAACAAAGCTAAGTGAGGTAAATAATAATGCCTGTATTAATTATGTTTGCCAAGCCTGTCATACAAGCCATACTGGGGGAACGCCTTGCTTGAAATCGTTGTTTTGTTTATCTGGCATTTGAATTCCTTACGTCCTACACTTAGAGTAGAACTCATCAGTCAACCAAGTTGATGTGTGTAAATAAGTGACTGTCTGAACTGGTTCTGTGGTATTCCGAGGGTGCCAGACGGTGCTTGCGGCTGCGTGGTGTGCTGTGGTTAGAGTATTGATCAGCATGGCTTTATGGCAGCGAAGGCTGGCTCCGGGCTGTGCTGTCAGGCCTGTCCACTGGACTGAGGCTGCCGTTGGCCACGGGACTGACAGGAGAGTGGAGTGGAGTTGAGAGGAGGGGGTGGAGGAGGTGGTGGGGTGGGTTAATCCCCCCTGAACTGGGGCAGATGTTGTTAACGAGCCCCTCTCAGATCAGCTCCCGCCGTGGGAAAATGGCATCCAATCCTCATGGGGTCAGGGCTTTGAGCTGACCCTCAGCGACTCATCCCACCTTAGAGAGCTGGCCATTCTCTTGCACTTTATTTAGGTGGAGGTCGCACATCTTAGACCTGTGGGCATTATCCTGTATTCTTATTAGCTGTCCACTGACTGTCGTGTATTACCTCCATCTTTCACTAATTAGAAAATCGTTCAGCTCCTACTAGATTACAGTCTGTGATGGCTGTTTTTTGGCACTGTCCAGAAGCATTGCTGTAACTCTGCTGTCATGCAGAGTTCTGGCTGTGGCCTCAAGACTGAAAGATAGCAACCTCAGGCATTTGAATATCTGCCACGTACATTTCGGTTTATAACACAACTTGACAGTTGGTGTTAATCTCAGGCCGAGCATGGGTGGATTTGTGTATGTGTGTGCTGTCTTGCTTGTCCTGTCGCTCTGATGTCTGATGTTAATAATAGCCGTTAGATCTCCGTAGTGTATCTCAACCACAAAGAATGCTGGGAGTGAGAGGTATAGGTCGGCTGCTGCTCCACGTCGGTCTCA